GAGATCGAGGAAGTAAAGCAACTTTCACAATGGCCGGCCTTATGATGGGTGACCAAAAATATATTATCTCCGTGTTTCGGAAGACACGTCGTGGTGAAACTGTACTTTCTGGGCCCAGAGGTGATACCGACTTGAATTTTTTTTGTTGAAAAAGTCTCTTTTTAACGAAGTTTTATTTCTGAAATTTTACCGGCATCTGTCGCCGCACGCTCGCTTTGCTCGCTCGACTTGCGCGTTACAGTCACAACACTTACCTAACCTGGTGTGAAGTATCGACCCTTGGGCACAAAAAGTACAGTTAAGCCTGAGAAAAGCGAAATGGATAAAGTTGGTCAATTTTGTTAGCGTCCTGGTTACCAAATGCATCGCTGATAAATGTACCAAAATGCCTTTTCAAGGGCTTGGGTACTTAATTCCATTATATGTAATCGAATTTCGGGGTAATTTGTAGGGGAGGGGGAGGGGGGGCTCCCCCCGACCTCCCCGCCATAAAAGATTTTTGGCGGAAATGCAGTTTTTTTTTTACCTAACCTAAAAATTCATTAAATCTGTTAAATGTAGTGGAATTTCAGGGGGATAGGTATAAGGGAAGACCCCTCAGAGGGAAGGGTAACCCCCCCCCCTCCCGGCGCTTTTTTTTACAGAAATGATAACTATAAAAAATTCGAGGGGTTTTAACTGTACTTCCAGGGCCTAGATTTTTTTGTACAAAAAGTCTCTATTAACGAATTTTTCTTTCTGGCGCTTCGCCGGCCGCTGCCGCGGCACGCTCGCTTCGCTCGCTCGGCTCGCGCGTTAAGGTCACAACACTAACCTAACCTAACCTAGTGTGAAGTATCACGACACAAGCGGCTCATTAGAGTCCAAAACTCGCACTACAATCGACTCTTCAGGCGAAGGAACAGCAGAACTCGAGGCCGAAGGCTTTTAGGATGCCATGGTAGTCAGACGATATGAATATCAACAGGAGTACGAAAAAGCTCTCAATTGCGACGAACACAAACACTGACTGACAGATCTCATTAATGGCGGTAAATTGTCACATTTTGACAATAGTACCAACATAATAAACTTATATTTACCATAGACAACGAGAAACATGTTATTTTTGCATAAAAAAATGGCAGCACTGATCAAAATTGCTGTCAAAATTGACTCTTAACCTACAAAAACATTAATTTTCAATAATTTTTTTCTCGAGTTCTTTTCGTTTCCGCCTAAAAAGATTTCGTGTACGTGTTTTTAATAGTTAATAGTTTGCGTGACAAAAATTTCAGCTTGCAACTCAATTACATATAATGGAAAGCTGAGCCAGGGCTTGTATTTAATTTGCAAGAAAAAGTTATCGATTAACTTATTCTATGTTTTGCTTTCCCTCCTATTCCATCCAATAATAAAGTTTATTGAAATTCGACGCTGTATCACCGCCTAGCAAAGACAATGAGCTATACATAATTTATTTCAAGTTTAAGAGTATATTACGTAGCTACGCTTAATTGCCCCGCAACTTAGTACTTACTTTGTGGCTAGGCTAATTGGTGTGAGTGTCGGAAATATTTATTTAATATTATGAACTACAACTATGTTATTGGCTGATTGTGTATTAGCAGACACAGCTTCATATAAATTTTATAATACATCTATATACATACCAATATTATTAATAAGAACGATAAGGGGTTTTGTATGTTGGTAACGAATAAAGTCAAAAACTACCGATTTTAAAAATTCTTTCACGTTTAGAACGGTATGTCGCTGAGTAACATCAATGAGGAAGCTCGATGGCGCAAATGGTTGCGCGTTCGGCCGCGATCGTTGAAGTTAAGCAACTTTCACAGTGGTCGGTCCTTGGATGGGTGACCAAAAAAAATTTACTATCTCGAGCTCCTCCGTGCTTCGGAAAGCACGTTAAGCCGGCTGCATGATCAGTCATTAGCACCCACCAATCCGCACTGGGCCCGCGTGGTGGGTCATGGCCTAATCTCCCTATTCTTTCCATAGGGAAGGTCTGCGCTCCAGCAGTGGGGACATTAATAGGCTGATGATCGCGATGATGAACAACAATATCAGTTATCCTACTATCATTATAAATGTGAAAGTTTGTCTGTTTCTGTGTCTGTGTGTTTGTATGTATGTAACTCAATCACGCAAAAACTACCGAACAGATTTGGATAAACTTCGGTATGCATATAGTTTATGACCTGGATTGGGACAAAGGATATTTTTTCACCCGGACGAAAGTTAACATGGACAAAGCGTGCGGCCACTAGTAGGTACTAAATATTATAACTGCAAATGTGTTTCTGTCTGTTACCTGTTCACGCTTAAACCACTGACCCGATTTGCATGAAATTTGGTATTGATATATGTAGTTTGAGTCCCGGGGAAGGATATAAGGATTTGTGTCCAAGAAATCATCCTTTAAGGGGATGAAAGTTTGTATGGGAAACTAATATTTCCACGCAGACAAAGTCGCTGGCTTTCACTAGTAAGCCCAAATAATGATGTTGTGTGGAGGGCCAGGGTGAATTCCTAGTTTTTTAAGACCATTTTATAGGTAATTGTCTGATTAAAAATCTTTAATATAGCCTTATCATCTAATCAATACCAAATCTAAAGAAAATTTCACACGGTTCAAGTGGCAGATGGGACTCGACACTTCGCTACCTGGGCGAATGCACTGACCATTATGCTACCACGGCCCTAATATGATGACTAATTTTTTTTCGTTTATCCGGTAGATTATCAAAAAGTATTAGACACGTATTTTTTCTTTTTTCACATAATATAAACATTGAAGAGCTACATTGATTTGAAAAGTACGTAAGATTTGGTACAATTTTCACTTGAAAGTGACGTCACGAGCCCCTACTCCCAAACTTTGATGCGCTATAACTTTGTCATTTTTTGGTTGACTGCCCAAAGAAAAAATACGTGTCCATTATTTTTTGATCATCTAACTGACGGACTAAATAGAATTTCGTTTACTGTACCCCGTCATCACCCCTATTGTCCTTGTCGATTTTTCTCTAGCATTTCTTAGGCTGCAAGGCAGCGCCATCTCTTCGCATTGTACGTAATTTAGCAGTTAAAGGCTTAAAAAATATAACAATCATTCCCTTGGTTAAAAATCCTAACTTAATTAACACTAACGATTCTCCAGTTCACATTCACAAGAAAGAGCGCCCCTGTGCATCCTGTCCCCGTCAGGGCAAGTGCGTCCCGAGGGTTCAATGTCCGGCTCTCATGAGGCCTGGAGCTCATCACCTGGAGTGCCACCTTAAGGGGAACGCGCTGGGCGTCTGCTGTTCTACCGGTAGTCATCATGCAGGTCATTACACAATTAAGGCCAAATAAGATTAGAAATTCTTCCTTTCGCAGTTATTTTGCCTTCGTCAGGGCAAATGTATTCCTAGAGTGCAGTGCCCCACGCTCATGAGACCTGAATCCCACCTCCCGGAGTCACTCAAGGGTAACGCACTGGGTGTCTGCTGTTCTATGTTCTACTAGTAGTCACCATGCAGGTATTTCGAAAATTAAGACTGAATAGCATGAATATTCTTTTCCTTCACAGTTCGTTATTCGCCCTGTCGGGGAAAATGAGTCCCGAGGGTTCAATGCGCGGGGCTTATGAGACCTAGAGCCTACCTAAAGTGTCACCTTAAGGACAACACCATGCAATTAAGAATGCATGGAATAAATCGTCTTTTCCGCGCAGTAATTTTTATCCTCAGTCAGGGCAATTGCGTCCCCAGGGTGCAGTGCCCCGCGCTCATGAGACCTGGATCCCACCTCCATGTCACCTCAAGGGTAACGCACTGGTTGTCTGCTGTCCTACTAGTAGTCACCATGCAGGTATTTCGAAAATTAAGACTCAATAGCATGAATATTCTTTTCCTTCACAGTTCGTTATTCGCCCCGTCAGGGAAAATGCGTCCCGAGGGTCCAATGCACACTACCCGTATTTGTGACACCGAGAGTCTACTTAAAGTGTCACCTTAAGGTAAGGTAACCATGCAATTAAGAACGCATGGAATAAATCGTCTTTTCCGCACTCATAAGACCTGGAGCCCACCACCTGGAACGCAACTGCAAGGAGAACGTATTGGGGGTCTGCTGTTTTACTGGTAGTCATCATGCAGGTAATTCGACTAGCAAGAAATGTAATTTCTTTTGCAGTTCTATTCTGCCCTGGTCAGGAAAAATGTGTCGCTAGAGTGCAGTATCCAGCACTCATAAGACCTAGGAGCCCACCACCTGGAACGCAACTGCAAAGTTGGGGGTCTGCTGTTCCACTGGCAGTGGAACGTGCAGTCATCATGCAGGTAATTTGACAGTTGATTGAATAGCAGAAGTCGTCTTTTCTTCCGCAGGTATTTTTTGCCGTAATTTCTGGATATCTCGTGTTACAACTTATACGTAGTTTTTGATTGAAGGCATTGAAATATTTATTCTAAGTAGGAATTTAATTTTTCCTGCCGTCGAATTTTGAACAGCTGACGTAGCTTAACTTAGAACTTAATAACTTAGACGTATGAAGTTAAAGTAAACAAGCTAAAAGAATTTTTGGAAAGAAAAGTAGCAAAGATATTTATTTAAGTACACATAAAATACGTTTTTACCGGTAATAAGTTCTGCTGTACTTGGTAGCAATAGTTACTTGGAACACAATAGCTATCAGAAAAAATATAGGCGTTTACTGATTTCTATATGACTTACGATCGCACTCATACACGTCAATTTAATTTAATGTATGTCAAAGTGACGTGTACCTTATTCTGCTACTTCCTGCTATCACAAAGTGCAGCAAGTTTGATCAAAACAAAATTAGATTTATCAGTGAGATTTTATTTTGTAGCGGAATCAGATCGCCGATCCCGTGCTTCGTTATCCACGAACGCGAAGGACGTGAAGGCAGCTCACCAGCAGTCGCAGAAGAAGCTTCAGGAATGGCTCTCCAGGTCGGAGCGACTGGCCGCGCAGAGGAATGTGCTAGTGGACAACAGATCTCCAAGCTTCGCACACCACCTGGTAAGATTAGGAGCAGAGGCGAACTGATAGATATGTGAGGAATATAAGGAAAGGAAGGAATAACTAGTGCTGTCGCGCATAAGCAAATACGGTGCGACAGGGACATCAGTAACGCTGAAAATTGCAAAATTCAGGGTTTGGTTCTCGACGATTTCCTCCTGGTAAATCTTTATATATAAAACTCAAAGGTGACTGACTGACATAGTGATCTATCAACGCACAGCTCAAACCACTGGACGGATCGGGCTGAAATTTGGCATGCAGGTGGATGTTATGACGTAGGCATCCGCTAAGAAAGGATTTTGATCAATTGTACCCCCAAGGGGATAAAATAGGGAATGGAAAGGGAGGGAAGGGGTTAATTTTAAACCGATCGGGCTGAGACTACGCATGCAGGTATAAGAAGAATCATAGATGAATGTCATTGTGTATAATACAAGCCTGAGAACAAAAAGTGTAGTCTACACTTCAGCTCTACACCGAAGCGAAGCGAGGGCGGGCAGCCAGTTAGATATACTTATGTAAAAGAAATTTTATCCATAGAATAATAAGTCATACTATCCGTAGAAAGTTATACTAGCCTACCTGTTTAGCTTTTTTTATAAATGCTTATTGAATAACGTTAATAGAATTTACGTGTTAATAAAATTTGTTTATCCAATGCGAAAGTTAGACCATTAATAGGCTGATGATTATGATTCAATGAATAGCAACGATATATGGGCCATATAGAAAAGTATTGTAATTATTGTAACAGCTACTAAAGCTCGGACATTTTTGTTTGAAAAATAATATAACCAGATATCATGGAAGGCTAAAGAGAAGACTTGTAATGCGTTCATATTCACAAAATTCAAATTTTGTTTCCAGTCAGTGATGACTACCGATAGAAGAGCAGAGAAGTTGGCTCACGGCGGTCTACTGAATCTGTTCGCTGCTCAGGAGTTGAAGGCACGTCAGGCGTTGTCTGATGATGAACTAGCACTGGGGCTGACTGAACACACTGATGGTAATAATTAAAAGGTTTCTTTAAGAACAATATCAAGTTTTCGTGTCGAAATCCTTTATAAATGATTAAAGTCATATTATTATTTTCTATGTGACATTTTAACTATTTGTATTAAATTTAGCTCATTTAATTAAATGTTGATTTTAACACAATTTTTAATCTCCCTTTAGTACAATTATTGATTACAGATAGTTTCGACATCGCATTGTAAATAGGACCTAGGGGAAACTACCCAATCATTAGCACTATTCCTATTATTGGCACTTTTGAGTTTAGTTCGAAAAAAACAGGAAACAATAGATTGTAGGAATAATGCTGCCAATTTTCTAATTTCGAAACCATACTAGGTTTTTCTTTTTAATATGTAACGACCTTGAATAATCTATTGTCTCCTTGTTTTCCGAATTAAACTCAAAAGTGCCAATAATAGGACGAGTGTCAATTATTGGGTGGTTTCCCCTATTTTATTTCACATCCGTGTAGGGTAAAATATGAATGGGCTTTATAATTTATTTAACACCAAATAATGTAGTCATATTTGAACAAATAAATAGATCGATACGAAATAGCTAGTCTTCAAGATACTCAAGAATAGCCATTTCGAAGAAGACAACACTCAGCAATAATTTTCATCTTCCTTACATTATAATGCCTCATAACTTATCAATATGACAGTTTATGATTTAGGAGGTATTAATTGTATAGCATTACTGTCTTTGACACCCTCGTCAAGTCGGACTCCAATAGCAGAATTTTGGAGGAAGTTTGTACAATTATTGCTCATATTTATTCAAAGAAAGAAGTGGTTATATGAGCTATAAATCTTAGTGTCGCCGCACACGGGCCACACGCCACAGCCACAAACGCCGCCACGAGAAGCTAGAAGCGGCTGAAGCGCGTGACAACGGCCGACTAATGTAAGGGAGAGAGGGGTGGGGAATCGCGCGAGTGACGTGTGTGGCGTTTTGTATCGGCGCATTAAGTGGCCGGTGCGAGCCACAAGAAGCGAGCAACGACGATTTGTAGCGTGTGGCGGCCACAGGCGTACTGTGTGTGGCGAGTCCATATAAAATGTATGAAAACTACAAGAAATATGCCGATGGCGGCGTTTTGCGGTTGTGATCGGTGGCCCGTGTGCGGCGACACTTAGAGTATAACTATCCACTTTTGCTAACTATGTACTTGACTTTCTGTTTGGAACTATTTAACGCAATAAAAATATCTTTCTTGATATTCTCAGGGGTTATGTCTAGTATCAAAAATTTAGGAAAGCTATCTTACTAAAATTGGCCAATTTTCAATAATTTATGCTCATAGGTAATCAATCACAGTAACAGAAATTAAAAGTATCAAATCATAAAGCTTCTCGATTTTGATCCCTTTCGGCTCTTAGTACCCATGGGTAATGAAGCATGATATCAGTGACATAAAAAAATGGTTTAATCATTATTTTAACCATCAAACTGCGTCATTTATGTGGCAAATATGTCTATATCTCTTTTTATTCATTCGCTCCAGGTCCCTTTTGCCCTCCCGCTCCCAGCTGCCCCAATCCACCCAGTCGCTACAGAAGTTTCGGGGGCGAATGCAACAACCTGCAATCTTCCACTTGGGGCGCTGTCCACACCGGCTTCGAGAGACTGCTGCCACCAGACTACAGTGATGGTAAAATAATTGGTTTGAAACTATGTCAATGCTGCCTTTAAATAGAAACAGAACACTACCGATATGGTAATGTTTGCCTTCAGTAAGGTGTTGCTAACTCCCCTTTTTTATGTCTGGGAAATGCCTTACGCAGCAAGAAGAAGGTATGTGGGACTCCTCTCTGCTCATAACAGCCAGCCCTTGGGTCGGGTGAAATGACCAGGGCCTTACCTAACGCCCTGAACAGGGCCACTAATAACCAGACAGTACTCCTGCACTGGTCACTCGGCATACATTCTGAGGACTGCAGACCCCCAATGCACGCTGGGAGTTTGGGTGTGGTCGCGGCAACCGTTGCCGATTGTTTGCGCAAGGAAAGGTAATCCCTAGACCAGTGATTCCCAAAGTGGTCTATATCGACCCCTAGGGGTCCATGACAACCTGCAAGGGGTCTACGTCAGCGAAAAAAAAATTGGGGGTCCATGAAATGAAAATGGGGGTCCACGATAGTGGATCTCAACATATACACTGATAGTACCTATATACTTACATCATACTATCTTATAATATCAAAACATACATTATTTATAAAAGATTTATAGTTTATTTTATATTTATTTAATGTTACGTATATTTTACATAACAGATACAAAATTTTATTTTCAGTAGTTTTAATTTAAATTCAGTTGATAAATGTATAAATTAACATGTGTTTTTAACACTAAACTTCACTACAGTTAGAAATTTATAGGAAATCAATATCAGATAAGTAGGGGGGGGGGGGGGGGGGGGTCTACCCAACACGGAAAAACATGGCAAGGGGTCTACGGCACAAAAAAGTTTGGGGAACTCTGCCCTAGACGGACATCCCAGTTAAAAGTTTTTCTAGCTCTTATAATTCTTGCAAATGTTTGCGAAGTAGCGAATAGATATCTACCTCGTCTAATGCAAAGACGATCAGCAATAGAGAGAGGTCTCGGTCGCCCGTCTGGAAAAGTAACCTCCACATATGCTAAAGATTTTACTGTAGTAAAAATGTCTGTGAGTAAGGTTTCAGGGTTCCACGGAGTAGGGGTAGGGCAAGGGACGGGCTCGCATTGCACAAGCTCTCAGGATGTCGATACCCCTGATGCTACGGGGCATCTTCATCGGGGTGGGTCCGTTCGCGGACAAACACCTGGCGGGTGCGCGGCCATTCGGAAACGGGAGCCGCGACCACACCCTCTCGGCATGCACTAGGGGGACCGCGGTCCTCATAGTGCGTGGCGGGTGACGGTGCAGGAGTATTGTCTGGTTTTTAGTGGCCTTGTTCAGGGCGTTAGGTAGGGCCCTGTTTATTTCACCCGACCACAGAGCTGGCTAAAATGAACAGGGAGGAGTCCCACATACCTTCTTTTCGCTCCCCCAGTGGTTGAAAGATGCGTAAAGCATTTCCCAGACACAAAGAAAAAGGGGTAGGGTAAGGGAAGACAACGCTGTGAGTGATGTTTTTGGTATCGCAAGCGTTTATAGACAATGGTAGCTGCTTATCACCAGGTGGGTAATAAGCACGTTCGCCACCCCCATTGGACAAAACACTATAGAAATATATTTTTTGCGAAATTTCTATTTGTTAAGGTTCTAGAGCTCTTTGATAGACGTACATTAAAACAGTGGTATCATCATCAACAGCCTATTAAAGTCCCCACTGCTAGGGCTCAAGCTTTTCGACTCAACTTAAAGACTCTGTATATAACAATACAGGGAGAAAAAAACAGTCCCTGCTGAGTTTCTTGCCGGTTCTTCTCAGTACAAAGTCTCCCGCCGTAGTTTTGCCAACCAATGGCGTAGCTTCTTGACCTTCACAAGTGCTTGTAACAGCCTAGACTGAATAAATGACATTTCATTTCATTTCATTTCATATGGACGGTATAGAATTATTTCTATACGGGCCATGACCTGTGCGGATTTGTGTATGCTGGCTGATCCAGCGTCTGTATACGGCCTTAAGAGTCTTAACCATTAGTACAGGCTTCATCTATAGTTATTCAGTCAGCATACACAAATCCGCACAGGTCATGGCCTCGTGCCTAGAGAAAATCGCTGGTAGACTTCCAGCTTTCTTTCTGTATACGGCCTTAAGAGTCTAAACCATTGGTACAGGCTTCATCTACAGTCAGTCAGTTGGTGTACACAAATCCGCACAGGTCATGGCCTCGTGCCTAGAGAAAATCGCTGGTAGGCTGCCAGCTTTCTTCCTGTATACGCCTTTAAGAGTCTAAACCATTCGTACAGGCTTCATCTACAGTCAGTCAGTTAGTATACACAAATCAGCACAGGTCATGGCCTGGTGCCTAGAGAAAATCGCTGGTAGGCTGCCAGCTTTCTTCCTGTATACGCCCTTAAGAGTCTAAACCATTGGTACAGGCTTCATCTACAGTCAGTCAGTTAGTGTACACAAATCAGCACAGGTCATGGCCTCGCGCCTTGAGAAAATCGCTGGTAGGCTTCCAGCTTTCTTTCTGTATACGGCCTAAACCTTAGAGTACCTACTGAAGCATGGCGAGATTTAAAAGTTTTGGTCACCCATTATATGACCGTTCATTGCAAAAATTGCTAATCATCTACCGATCGCAAACCGAACTCGATATCAACTAATAGTACAAGATCCCTAGACTGACACAACTCACTTAATTTCTCATCGACAAAATATGGATTGAATAGTATTAGTGCGTAATGATCGTACGCACTCAGTAACTTGTGCTATGGGCCAATTATTTGGTAGCTGGTGGCATAGTCACGTATAATTTTTACTCACCTAACTTTCAGTCTGAGGACTGATTCCAACAAACGTTTAAGAGAATATTGTGAACAATTAGAAATTCATAGTGCCTGACATATTCTGTCGGCAGTTTTTATTGCCAGACTTTTAATGTCGAAAGCAAAAAACACAAACTTACAATCTGAGACCTGATATTTATCTAAGATATTTAGGATCAGACATCGGTACCCAAGGATCTGTCTGCGTGTCACTAATGCCCGTGGTTACCCCATACACTGTAGACATGATATCCGGCTTAGTATGCAACGGAACTATTAGATATTGTCGCCAATTTTCCTGATACCTGAAAATTGGCCCACAGCATAAGTTAGCGAGTTTGTATACATTCATTGTATACATTAATACTACTCGATTATCCATATTTTGTCCATAAGAAAAGAAGTAGGGTCTGGCAGTCTTGGGATCTTACTCTATAAGGTTCATTTGTCAGCCTTTGGGCACGAAACTGTTTTTGGATAAAGTTTCTATAATAATACGCTGCTTTTCCTACTCTACTGTAATGGTTGCGTAACAATTTTTATGTAGGAAACTAAACACAGGCTACGGAATAGATTTCTAGCTAAGTGATTCTCTCTAGGCATCTGGAAGATGCGAGTGTCATCATCAGGCAGTCCATTGCCCAGCGCTCGCGCCGTCAGCAACATCCTGGTGTTGGACGGAAGCCATCCGAGTGCCACCCACAATCTGATGTTCATGCAGTTTGGACAATTTATAGCCCACGATACAAGTGCTGGAACAGTATTTACTGTAGGTGAGTTACTTCTTTATTTTAACTTCTTAAGGATAAGAAATAGACAACGGGATAAGAGAAACGGAAATGGTGAACGGCCAATGAAGACGTCAGCTATGTCCTAGTATTGGACGGAAGCCATCCGAGCGCTACCTACAATCTGATGTTCATGCAGTTTGGACAGGTCATAGTCCACGATTCAAACGCTGGAACAGTGTTCACTGTAGGTAATTGTAATGGCTCCGGTATCTTTTCACTTCCTATTCAAGATCACAAGAGGGAGAAGTGATTTTAGTGTTTTTAAAACTCCATTTGAAATAGAAAGGGGCGACGGGATTGGAGAAATAGAAATGATGAATGGTCAATTAAGCCGTCAGCAATGCTCTACTGTTGGGTGGAACCCATCCGAGCGCTACCCACAATCATGCAGTTCGGACAGTTCATAGCCCACGATACGAGCGCTAGAATAGTGTTCCCTGTAGGTGAGTGAAATGGTTCCCGGTTTCTTTTTATTTTCTATTAAGGATCACAAGAGGGAGATGTGATTTTAGAGTTTTTAAAACTCCATTTGAAATAGAAAGAGGCGACGGGATTGGAGAAATAGAACTGATGAATGGTCAATTAAGCCGTCAGCAATGTCCTAGTGTTGAATGGAAGCCATCCGAGCGCTACCCACAATCATGCAGTTCGGACAGTTCATAGCCCACGATACGAGCGCTGGAATAGTGTTCACTGTAGGTGAGTGAAATGGTTCCGGGTTATTTCCTTCCTATTAAAGATTACAAGAGGGAGAAGGGATTTTGGTGTTTTTAAAACTCCATATGAAATAGAAAGGGGCGACGGGATTGGAGAAATAGAACTGATGAGAATGGTCAATTAAGCTGTCAGCAATGTCCTAGTGTTGGATGGAACCCATCCGAGTGCCACCCACAATCTGATGTTAATGCAAGTTACTTTTTACTTTCCATTAAAGATTACGGGGAGCTGAAGGCTTTTTGGCGTTTTTAGAATTTCACAGGGAAAATGGGCGACGGAATTGGAGAAATGGAAATGGTGAGTAATTAATGAAACCGCGGTTGCAACGTCGTAATGTTGAACGGAATCCATCGGAGCGCCAACGACCATCTGATGTTCATGCAGTTCGGGCAGTTTGTAGCCCACTATTAGTGCTAAATAGTGTTCACTGTGAGTGAGTGGAGTTCTTCAGAGTTAATACTTGTTAATGCTTATAGAATAGAAAAGAGCAGATGGATTACAAAGATGGAAGTGCGGTATCGTCAATAAATCTTCATTCTTTTTTCACGTTAAAATTACGTTACCCGCCATTCAGGGAACAGTACTGTCTCCTCTCATTGCACTCCTCACAGCGAAGAGTTGAGAATGCTGATGACATTGAGCATACGTGTTCACATTTCAAAGATAAGTGACTAAATGTATTTTGAAAGCTTCGCTGTTTATCTAAATCTTAACCTGAATCTTTTAAATTCGTCCTCAACCACCTATGTTTAAAAGTCTTACACCATCCAGGGAATGGAAGTTCCCTATACTATTGAATTTTATATTTAATACTATCGTTACACACCATTTAGGCAACGGCAGTGCTTTATCCTGTTGCACTCCCCACGGCGAGGAGTTCCTTCCTCCAGAGTCCCAGCACTGGGCATGCGCTCCCATAGCGTCGGGGCCAGAAGACAACTTCTATGGACAGTTCCGGCTGCAATGTCTGAACTTCGTGCGAGCTCAATTGGCTCCGGCCAGTGACTGCTCCGTTGGATACGCTAAGCAGGTCTGTACAAAGCCAGTGTTTAAATCTAAAGAAATTTTTACTGGAAAAAATTCTACGCGGACCAGGCAGCAGACGGGACTCGAACCCGCGCTTGCAGTCTAAGAAATACTAGAGAAAATTCTACACTGATAATTAGGGCCGCGGTAGCGGTCAGTTCATCCGCCCGGAAGCGGAGGGTGCGGTTTCGAGTCCCGTCTACTGCCTTGTTCGCATGGATTTTTTTTTGGGAAAACTTTCATTAGTATTAAACGTCTAGCTTAAAAAAATTCAAATGTAAATCCAGTGTTACTTTTGCTCAAAAGCATCTTTTTTGTAAACATTTAAAATATTGAATTCTTGGTTGATTTTTTGCTGTCTTATATGGAAGAATAAAACTCGCTCCTTTGACTACGAGCAGTTTTCTTTTGATTAAGTTTGGTTCTCATTATGATTATAAGCTTATTTTTAACCCCACTACTGGGGCACATCATAGATAGAACAGGGATATTAAGCATGGCCTACTACGCGAGTTAGTGCTAGTGCTGATTGGTGGGTGCTAACGACTGTAGTTGCAACCGGGACCAACGCCTTAACGTGCCTTCCGAAGTGCGCAAGCGCTAGAGTAAATATGATTCTAGCTTACAAAATTATGAATTTAAGTGAGTGAATGCCAAACGATTTTCTGCGAAATGAAGCTTATGCCAGCTGATATGCATAAGATCATGACATTAAAAGTTCAACGTTATAAGAAAGACCCGGAAATTGTTAGTACAATGGTACTAGTGGGAAAATCAGTGCCATTTGTACCATCAATGGTACTGCCTAATGGTACAGGTGGTCTGGTGGGGATTTTTGGATCATACATTCTATGACCGGCAATTGCAAATTTTGTTAAAGCGCCTTCGAGCTCCTCAATCAGATACTGACAATATCACTATCAGTTGAAAATTAATTGAAAAAAAGTGGTCTGACGACAAAAGCAAAATGTTGAACCTATCAGTTGTAACATACTACAATTATCTTAAACAGATGAATGGCGCAACTCACTTTCCTGATTTGTCTCACTTGTATGGAAGTTCTGAAGAGAAGGTGGGTCTGTTGCGGGCTCCCGGTGGTCTTCTCAAAGTGTTCCAAGACTACGGACGAGAACTTCCACCATTGACAGAGAGAGAAGAATGTCTGACCGTTAAGGAGGGAGCGGCTTGTTTCGAATCTGGTGGGTTGAAAGAAGATATTTGACTAATTTTAGGCGCACTTGCACCAAAGTTCTTTTTTAAATTTCAAAGCTAATCGTGTTTGAGCCACATTCTATTTCTGATTTGAATATTGACAAAGGTAGATTGAGGTGTTTAAGAAAGTTGGTACATGGGGACATAAGTCTTAAACTCCTTTTATCACATTTTAACCACAGCGGAAGTTGAGCAAACCTACTTTTCGGTTCCGATGTTCTGATATTACAAAAGCAACCCAAAAGTGGTATTCCTATCTATAGTATCGCTCGTTGTTGCAACTCTCTGCTCTGCCAGTTACTGCTTGAGGTTACTATGCAAGTTTTTTTTTATATAAATTCAAGCAATGTTTAGCTAGATATTGTATGGCTGTAAGAAATGATAGTAAAGATTTAAAGACCCTGTGTGTTTTTTACCTATCAGTACCCCACAACACAACACGTATATTTAAAAATACTTTGTAGCGTCAAGAATTATGTAAAAAAGCCTGTTCTGGTTTCAATATTCTTTCAAAAGTGTTTTATTACATATATTAAAACTTTACGTTATTTACAGGGGACAGTCATGGCAACCAGATTATATCGCTAACAGTCCTCCACACTCTTTGGACTCGGGAACATAACAGGATAGCCAGAGCTCTGTCTCGTCTTAACCCTGAGTGGGATGAAGAGAAGATATACTTGGAAGCGCGCAGAATTGCTCAGGCTGAGTTCCAGCATATTTTGTACAGCGAATGGCTACCATTGCTCTTAGGTATACTTGTTCTTCATCATCATTAGACAATTAATATTACCACGGCTGGGGCACATGCTTCCATTATGAAGTGCAGATTGGTGGGGGTAAATGACTGCAGATGTAGCCGGGACTAATGGCTTAACGTGCCTTCCGAAGCTAGCAGGAGCTCGAGATTATAAGTTCTTCGGCACACATACAATTACCGGCTAAAGTTGCTTAATTTCCATGATCACTGATGAAACGTACTTACCCCTTCGCTATCGAGCAACGTTCTCATCGAGCTTCATGCTTCTTAATTTCAAATCAGATATTGGGTGTAACTTAAAAGTTGTAAATGTGTTTTTCGATTTTGATCTTAAATAATCTTAACAGTATCACTCTGCTGAGGATTACTGGAACTGAGAGATTTTTCGAGGGATTTCAAGGCAGGAAAAGCGAGAATCTTCAGGTTTCTATTCCGACGTATTCAGCGTTTACGGTAAAATTTGTTTTTGCCAGAACAGATTTCGGTTTTTTTAATAAACTAAATATTTGTACCTGTTAGTATCTATTTTTTTTCTATTTTCCATCAAATCGCAGCACTACCGCTGTGGTATGGTTCAGTCCCACCCTACCCCCAGGGGTATGGCTAGGGGTATGGTGGGTCTGGCATGCTAAAGACGGAGGTTTTGCGTTGACTGCGTATGCTCATAACTGATGTTCCGGACGTAGTAGGTAGTGTTTTAAGTTGTTAATAAATTTCAGGTTCTCAATTGGTCCAAACGTTCGGTTTGTACCCTTCGCCTGGGTACTGCTCGTCGTACGAGCGCCAGGTGAACCCCTCGCTGACGGCAGAGTTTTCTACCGCGGCCATGCGTTTCGGACATTCCGTCGTCGATGGAAAGCTCACGTACGTATAATATAATGAATTCATATTTCTAATACTCACACCAATACAATCAGCTGAGCTGAGGCCCAAAGCAATCCAATACAAGGCTTGCGTTAAGGAATAAAACGCAAAGGAAATTATAAATACACTAGCTGACCCAGCGAACTTCCTACCGCCCTAAAAAAATAGGGGTTGTCCAGCGGACAAAATTGTGAATCTAAACCATTCTCAGATCCCCTTGAACACACACAAAAAATTTCATCAAAATCGGTCCAGTCGTTTAAGAGAAGTTCAGTGACATACACACTCACAGAAGAATTATATATATAAAGATATTAATTGAAATAGAACTTGAGATCAGATCGAATTTGTATTGAGATAAAAGCGAGTTACGTTCGAGTTTTTGATCGAGAAAGTATGATGAGATCGAGTTTGGATCGAGATGAGTGAGATGCATTTGAGTGGATCGAGATAAAAATAAAATGCTTTTCGAGTTTACATTTAGAAGAAAGTAAGATGCATTCGAGTTTGGAGGCAAAAAAAAACATTATTTTTAAATTGTTTTAAACTTTCATGGTCACTAACACTATAGCTATTAACGGGATTGTTACCATGTACCTTGTTTTTTATGAGTCTCCGATATTTGCAATCCAGTGGTTTCATATGTGTAAAAACCGCAAAAATCAAAAAAGTGTCGTTCCGCGATCTGATACTGTGAGTATTGTGTGTCGGGAACTAGTGCGAGTGAATAGTGAGAATGTGACCAGTGGTACGGGTATCGAGCGCAGTAAAAGACGACGTCAGAGGGTAGACAGATATGTCTGCCAATAACATCTAACCGCAATTACTTCAGTTACTCTGTGATCATGGCGCTTGCAACAGTGCCGAAATATCGGAGACTCATAAAAAAACAAGGTACATGGTAACAATCCCGTTAATAGCTATAATTATTTTTAAAGTCCATCATATAAAATTGTGGTCGTAGATCACGAAAACGAAACAATCGTATTACTCTTCAAGTGGCAGTTACCTAGTTAGGTGTAGAACGTGTCGAAATGATATTTATGTATAATATGATATATGAAAATATTCTGATCATTCGTCTTTAGACTTTTAATATCCTTACTGCTGGAGTTCAGCGCAGGCCTTTCAATGGATGGAATTGAGAGATAAGGCCGAACAATAGTCATTTATGCAACTATTGTATATTTATTTATTGACGTTTCGTAGCCTTTACAGGCTACGTTCGTCGGAATCAAAGTTTCGTGCATTAACCCGTTAAAAAAACTAGTTTTATTTTATGATATTGGATGTTTAAATGTTAGCAATAAGCTGTTTCAGAATCTTTAATTAAGGTTTTAAAGTGTGGCTGTTGATTAAAATATATAATAATATGTGGTGATATAACGGTTGGTATTTTCTTAGGATTCCTAACTTGAAATCTGGCAATGTGTACGAGACCATCTTCATTCCGGAGGTGATGTTCCAGCCGTCCAGGCTTCGTGTGCGGCCGTTCTTGGACCGAATGATCGCGGGTTTGTCCTGGCAGCCCATGCAGACAGTCGACCCATTCGTCACGGAGGGGGTGAGTGGGCAAAGTTTCTTTCATCATCATCAACCTATTAATGTCCCCACTGCTGGGGCATAGGCCTTCCCTATGGATGAAATAGGGAGATTGGGCCATGACCCACCACGCGGGCCCAGTGCGGATTGGTGGATGCTAACGACTGCAGATGCAACCGGGACCAAAATTTCTTTATCAGCATTTAATTAAAGATATGAGGGAAAAGACGTGAAAATGAATAGTCAAAGAGAATTTTGAAAGTCCTTGTAGTCAGGAGACCGTCTTGTGGATGGAACTTATGTTTTAATCGTCATCATCAGTATGTCTTTACTGTTGAGACACAGGGATGGAATGAGGAGATTGGGCCACGCAGGCTCAGTGTGGATTACTGGGTTCTTAAAGGATGCACCCGAGACCAATGCGCCATCGAACTCTTAGTGTCGCCGCACACGGGCCACACGCCACAGCCACAAACGCCGCCACGAGAAGCTAGAAGCGGCTACTAAAGTGGCTGAAGCGCGTGACAGCGGCCGACTAAGGTAAGGGAGAGAGGGGTGGGGAATCGCGCGAGTGACGTGTGGCGGCGTTTTGTATCGGCGCATTAAGTGGCCGGTGCGGGCCACAGGAAGCGAGCAACGACGATTTGTAGCGTGTGGCGACCACCTGCGTACCGTGTAAAACGGTGCGTGGCGAGTCCATATAAAATGTATGAAACCTACAAGAAATATGCCGGTGGCGGCGTTTTGTGGTTCTGGTCGGTGGCCCGTGTGCGGCGACACTTGCTTAAAAATATTTTTCCACTAAAAGGCAAGACAACATACAGCTATTTGTCTAAATTTATAATATTATCAGCAATATTTTTTTTATTTTTCACCAGTTGACTCGCTACTTATTCCACGGTGGGAATCCGTTCGGCATAGACCTGGCGGCTATCAACATCCAGCGCGGCCGCGACTACGGCGTTCGCGCTTACAATCAATACCGACGTCTGATAGGGCTGGAACCGCTCACCAGCTTCGACCAATTCTCGCCCAACGTGAGTCTAAACAACATCATGCTATTGTGACGGTGAAATCTACATGCCTCAAATATAACGTCTCGTCAAGAGATGGCGCTACTGATGCTGCAATCATAAAATATGGAAGCCTACATCGCGTAAGTGATATTGAATAGTCAACACTTCAAATTAGCAACCAGCCAACATCAGTCGTCGGGCCGTGGCCTTCGAGCTAACATCACCCAGCTCGGTGGAAGATCTTCCCCTTTGGCCTTCCTACGCGATCAATGTTCCCACTTCTGGGGCACAAGCCTTCCCTATGGCTAGCATAGGGAGAATGGGCAATGACCCAGCAGTATGGATTGGTGTGTGCTGGACTGCAGATGGATGCACCGACTTAACATGCCTTGGGAAGCATGGAGGAGCTTGAGATTATAAGATTTGGTCACCCGCTTAGATTTTAAAACAAAAAGGGAAGATACGGCACTCGCGGCTCAAAAGTGATCCGCTTAAATTGTGGTGCATGGCCACAATTAGCTTTAGTCACAATTGGACATTCAAACACACTGCCTGTGCACTCAATATAACAATATTGCGTAAAAGCAGGAAAACATCGAGCTCTGGGTGAGGGAGTTACTAGAGGAGCCGATGGAGGGAGATTTTAAGCTTTATACTGCTTACTTCATAAATTAAGGATATCGCATGGCTTCGGTTCGAAACTTATCTGACATCTGGACCAAATTATTATTTGGCAAATTATTGTTTGTGTCATCGTGATGTATGGCTGTATGCTTTTCTCTCATCTTTTGTTTACTTTGCGCAGGCAGCTCAACGACTAGCCTCCGTGTACGAAAGTCCAGAAGATATAGACCTATGGGTAGGAGGGTTACTAGAAGAACCCATGGACGGGGCAGTGGTGGGAATCACCTTCGCTCACATCCTCGCCGACCAGTTCTCCCGGATCAAGAGAGGCGACCGCTACTTCTACGAGAACGGACCTGATGTGAACCCTGGAGCTTTCACGCCAGGTAATGATAACATTTGTTACATACATTACTATATATTTGTTAAGCAACTTTCGCAGTGGTCGGTCATTGGATGGGTGACCAAAAATTTATTATCGCGAGCTCCTCCGTGCTTCGGAATGCACGTTAAGCCGTTGGTCCCAGTTGCATCTGCAGTCGTTAGCACCCACCAATCCACACTGCTCCCACGTGGTGAGTCATGACCCAATTTACCTGCTTCATCCATAGCGAAGGCCTGTGCCCCAGCAATGGGGACATTAATAGGCTGATGATGATGATATATATTATTGCTGGAAAATGACTCTACCCCATCTGATGTTAAGTGATGGTAAAGTCCAGACGCGAACATAGCTGCTGCAGCAGTTATAAACTGCCTCTTCATCTTTCCACGCCAGCTTGCAGAAATGCTCCTTCCCGCTTTTCTCAAAGGACCCCAGATTATAGGAAGGAGGGAACATGTGCACGGGCAAAGAATTCCATTCGCGAATCGTCGAAAATTGTTGAACACGTATTCTTTTTTAAATAATCAAAACATTAAAGTGATATATTGTTTTGAAAAATCGTATGATGTTACGCTTTGGCCCATTATTCTTTGATTATCTTACTGACGGACTAAATAGAATTTCGTTTATTTTACTCCGTCGTCATCCTTATTCATTTATTGCTAGTAACACAATATGTACACCAAAGCTGGTAGTAACAATTTAATAGAGTATTACTTTAATAGGGATGATGACTAATTTTTTTTTAAAGAAAAGTTTACTAGAAAAAAAAACCACGCGGACCAGGCAGCGGACGGGACTCGATCCCGCACCCTTCGCTATCCGGGCGAATGCACTGACCATTATCCTACCACGGCCCATTTCGCCGCGTCGAAATTTTCCTAGCCTTAAGCTGCAAGGCAGCGCCATCTCTTCGCATTGTAGGTAATCCACAATTTTTTTTTTCTAGTAAACTTTTCTTTAGATTTAAACATCTAGCAGTTAAATGCTTAAAAATAAATAAAAACATATTTTTTTTTCTTCGTTTATCAGGTAGATTATCAAAAAGTATTGGACGCGTATTTTTTTCTTTTTTCTCATAATATAAACATTGCAGAGATAAATTGATTTGAAAAGTCGCATGACGTCACGTTTTGGTACAATTTTCACTTAAAAGTGACGTCACGAGTCCCTCGGGTCTAACCACGGGTCGAAGATACTTGGGAACTTTTATTAATAGCTGTCCACCCAGGTGGACCGCCCAAGGTTTTCTAATACTTTTATTTAAACATTCATTTATTACATTTTAAGTTGATGAATATAACATAATTGTGATGTAGAGGATTCGATAGTTGGTAGAGTAGCCCCATCAGAATCCGAGGCCGCGTCGAGATGCAGCCAGGGAGGTCGAATGGGTGGGAAAGACAGGGAGAGGAGAGGACAGTTTAATAATAGTGAGAGGCGAAAGAAGAGGAGAGGAAAGGAAACGAAACAGAAAATAAATAAAAGGTTTAAAGGATGGGAGTGAGAGTGTAAGGGAATAGGTTTAACAATCTTGCATGAAATACAGCCATTGACGAAATACATTCAATATTAAGTGTCTCACAGACAGACGCCGCTCGCGGCCACAGCCAGGGTTGGGGTGGTTACAGAAATACACATAGGAGATTTCTAATACTTTGAAAACCTTCAGCGGTCAGAAATAACATAGTCAAATCATAAGCTATAGCAATAGCAATCTTTATAGGCGGTAGGCCCCCTGGTGGTCAGTTCGGAGGAAGGGTTTAGAATCGCTAAGTCTGAAATTAGCTTCTCTGCTAGGTAACTCAATGAACCTTCCAAGATTTCCATACATCTTGACAGCACCCAAAATAAGTATTACTGATGTTTTTAATCCAATGACACCTATAATTGAATTATGTTGAACATAAAAGTTTTGTTGTAGGTCAACTAGCAGAGATAAAGAAAGTGACTCTCTCAAGAATAATATGTGACAACAAAGATGGAATTGAGTTATTTGCACAACCACCGAACGCATTCGTAAGAGCCGATTTACCAGGGTAAGTATAAAATAATAAAATACTAATTGGTAAAATAATATAATAATAATAATATAGGTTGGTCGACATCACAGGAGACCGAAGAGCTGGCAGCTACCTCGGACAAAGATTTGTCTAGCTATTCAAAGGGGGAACGCTGCCAGTATCTTTGGAACCTTGCCTAAAGGGACTCCTTTTAATAATGTATGTTAGTTATTATATATTTTAAGATTTTTAGTTATAAATATCTTACTATTTATAATAAACTAATTGTTAAATAAGTATTAAAAGGAAATAGAATCACAGTATTTCTTCTGTGCACACATTAAAATAATAATTTTAATGTCACCACTTAAATAAAAGTCAAAGCTATTTTTATTAATTTGTTGAATCTTTAGTTTTTAAAGGGCCTGTTTCACAATCGCTGAGTAAAGTTGTCAATATGCTACTTAGAACTTATCTGGTCAGTAAACAATTAGGGATGTTGACTTTGACGTTGACAGGGCACTTTTGCTTGTTTTTAAAAGCTTTTCCAAAAAATTCAAATTCCCCATTCTTCACTAAGCATATTAGCTTACTTAGAACTTTACACAGCGAATGTGAAACAGGCCGTTATAATGTAAAACGTGGTGGAAATAATGGCAATGCACACAAATAGCCTTATTAATAAACGGCGACTAAGTTTGGATTAGTTACTGTAAGGTTGTCTCTGTTCATTGAATGATAAATGGCACTTGAGTGATAGAACAAAAAACTGGTCTAAGTTTGGGAAATAGTTTACAGTTGAGAATAAGAAAGAGATACATTAAAAAAACCACAAACTTAAAAAGGTTAATTAACCTACATTCCTTGTTTTCTTAAGAGCCCTTTTACATTTTTTGCAAAAAATTGTAATTTTTGAGTGCCTCGTTTACGCTCTTAGAAAAGATTTTGACTACTTCCAATAGAATTAAACAGTAGATATGTTCTTCCTTTTGTAAGTTAATTTTGAATATTTGCAAATACTATTTTCCTTTTTTTGTACTGATCGTTCCACTGCAGCTAGTTTACGGAAAAAACGATCATATGCACAAATTCAAATGCCTCAATCTCTCAATAATGTTCCATAATTTAGATCAAATTAATTACTACGACATCAGAAATATGTTTTTGTTGTAACATAATGTATTAGAATATTGATTTTCCATCTTATTAATTATCAAAAAAAAACATCTAACATCCGTGAGTTTTCACAAAAAATAATGCAGGATTACCTCCTATTTTGATATTGAATTAAATAGAATTGTTATCAAAAACTTTCATAAAACTAATCTACCGTCATTGAACTTCTAAAATATGTATATATTTCTGCAATTAGTTCATTAATAAGTATTTTATAAGACTCGAAACATCACCCGTAAAATGCAATATATACTAGTGCAAATCTGCCTACGCACCGATCAGTACGGCAGCGGCGCAATTTTGTAAAAGGGCTCTTAATAGGGGGAAAGAAATTTATTTTTAAAGAAGATTTTTTCTACTGTAATTTGAAGTTTTTCCCATATGACAGAGCAGAGGGATAATTATGTTTACTTGTCTTTATCCGTTATCATTTTCATTTCGTAATTTGTAAACATATATGATATCACATTTACTCCTTACTTGTGCCACAGCAACAGGTTACATATCCCGTGCATCATAATTATAGTATTTTATTTAATTAAACTTTAAAGGGCATAGCGAAAAAAGTTAAACAATTAGCCCCTAGATGCCAAATGATATGATGCTCCATCAATATCAAATAGGCATCTTGGGGTTAATAGCCACATTTTATATAATACATCACATACATCTAAATCACATTTTATATAATACCTGTCTGTCTTTCCAGGAACGAGCCTGTGCCCTGTGACAGTCTTATTATACCTGCTATTGACCTCAGTAGATTCAAAGAAATTTAATCATTATCTCCCATAAATTCAGTATAAAATGTTTTACACCTATATCATTGCGAAATTTAATGTTTAAAGTCAACGATTTTTCAACAGAGTTATTTTAAAGTCTATGATCGCTATATCCATCAATACATACTTCAGCTTTTATTTTAAGTATTCACTTCTTTGGCTGGTTTTGTGTCGTTGTTACTTTAGTTACGATTATTAAGTTGAAATTTATTAGTATGCACCTCTTACTATCTCTGTATCTATACTTTCTTTTCTTTTCTTTATCAACTGATTCAGAATTACAATTATTTGCTTCTATTGCAAAAGTGATCATTATTTTATTTCCAATTGCAATTGATTATGCACGTTTGTCACCTTTTACGATAGGATCGATTTTTGTAAAATCACATTATTCAATCGTATTTCGATTTTGTTACAACACAAATCTTTTGTCTTTTGATTCTTACTTTTACTAATAAATAACACATCATTTAGGTTGTCATTGATGCCCGAACAATGATAGTCTAGATGTCTAGTGAAGAAAAAGTCTGAAGATTTGTGTTGATAGCAAATTTGATTTAACTAATGAAATAACTGAACATGATTGATGAATTTACTTTATTACTTCTATTTATTTCAATAGCACGAATGGATTTCAACTTAATTTGGTTATTAGTGAAAGTACCCGAATCAATGATTTTTTTTAAAGAAAAAATCCAGGATTCAGGAGTTATTTTGATTGTTTTAAGTGAATACTGAACATAGAAGTGCTTGTTGATATAAATATAAAATGATGTTTGAACGATTTAGAATTCATTTGAATTGAATGGGAACAAAAGGGAGATATTACCAACATATTATGTCTCATTTGTCACAGTAAATATAATTAAATAAACTTCTGCAGGGCGGTAAAGTTTATTGTGCAATAATATTAATAACGCTATAATAATCTTCTGTATTAAACAAGAATAAATCATTAGCTTAGGTTAAAATCATTAACATTAAAATAAAGTCTACGTTTTACGTCAATGTTTATTCCCCTCGAAAATGGCATAGTATAGTTTGCATGTGATAATTTAAGTGCATTTGATTATAATTTAATATTATTTTTAATATATTGATGATATCAACTTTGTGCTTATATCATAATAGTATAAATTGATTCATAAATCATGAATGTAGATATTTTAATCACAAATTATTTGTAATATAGATTGTTATACTGATGTGATGTAGAAAATAAACAGGAGCTCCTGATTTTTTTTAATAAAGAGTTGATTTTGTACTTATTGTCAATTATTTTTTAATAAAATGTGTATTAGTTTTATAAGTTGGTTTTATTTCTGGATTTTTTTTTCAAACAGCAGTGTAGGAAGGCCAAAGAGGAAGATCTTCCTCCGAGCTGGGTGGTGGTAGCTCGGGGGCCGTGGCCCGACTGATGTTGGTCGGGCATCGTATATATCGAGTGTTAGCAATTTCACTTGCGCGATGTAGGCTTTCATACATATTGATCGCAACGCCGGTAGCGCCACATCTTGAGGAGGCGAGTGATTATTTCCCTCTTGTTAGTTATATTTGGGGCATATAGATGTCGCCGCCACAGCAGTCTTATTAGAAAGAATCGGAGACCTTATTAATTGAGATGTTGGTATTATTTCTCAATAAATAAAATCTATTGTGACTAGCTTCCAAATGTAAGCATCTCTTTAAATCCGATAGCCTTTAATAAACTATAACATTAGTAGCTATTAGAGCTTTGTTTTCCTGCAATTCTATTCTGTAAAGATGCGCAATATTTTCACCCGCGGATCTATATTGGATCTGTTATAGAAAATAGGGATGATGACTATTTTTTTTTCTTCGTTTATCAGGTAGATTATCAAAAAATATTGGACACGTATTTTTTTTTTTCACATAATTTAAACATTGCAGAGATATATTGATTGAAAAGTTGCATGACGTCATGTTTTGGTACAATTTTCACTTAAAACTGACGTCACGAGCCCCTACTCCCAAACTTTGACGCGCTATAACTTTGTCATTTTTTGGTTGATTGCCGAAAGAAAAAATGCGTGTCCATTATTTTTTGATCATCTAACTGACGGACTAAATAGAATTTCGTTTGCTGTACCCCGTCATCACCCTTATTGCGCAACATGGAAAAATGCGCGTGAAATTTTCGTGAGTCTTTACAGAATAGCATTGCTGGACTTATGTTGTCCTAGATGAAAAGTTATGTACTCCGTTTTTCAATTTAAGTTGTATAGATTTTGAAAGATTCCGTTCGCAGTAACCTGTAGGTAGTAAAGTATCGCGCATTTAAACTGCCCGTGCAAAGTAGCTATTTTTAGGCCCGTATTACAGAATGACAACTAAGTGTCGATCTTTACTTGAGTACAGTTAGAAAGGGATGTCGCTTTATGCTATATATAGCGACATCCCTTTCTAACTATGCTCAAGACTAGATCAATCACTGAGAATCTTTCTATAATACGGGCCTTAGACTCTTTATACTATTATTTATTAGACGTCCTCCGTAGCCGAGTGGTTTGTACGCCGGGTTTCATGGTGCCGCCGACTAGAGAATTCCCGGGTTCGAATCCCGGTAGGGGCAGATGTTTGTGTGATGAATACCAGCATTTGTTTTCCAGTCATGGATGTTTAATATGTATTTCTATCCGTTACCCTAGTATCCCATAACACAAGCCTTACAGTGCTTACTTTGGGGCTAGGCTAATAGTTGTGAGTGTCGGAAATATTTATTTATTTATTTTACGTACTTTTTTTATACTGTACAAAGGGGACGTAAACTACTAAACAAAGATGCATGCATGTTCCCTATTAAAACAAGAATTTTAAATTATGCAGGCGAATTCCGCGTTGAAATTTCATTACTGCAGACTTCAGTGTCATAAAATTAACTTGCAAGTTATTTTAAAAATAAACCAAAGATGAGCTGAGATATTAATAAATAGGCAAATACTACCAAATATTTGTGCTAAAAGTTTTTAAGTTTATTTTTCAAAATAAATTAATTGCATCAGTGTTTTCTAAGAAACTGGTTAGCACTTTACATTACACGCAGGAGTTCTTGCAAGTTTTCCTCTTTTAAAAGCAAATCAGAAAATTAATAGTACGAGAGCCCACGACCAAAACCATGTCTCAAAGCAATACGGCAAAAACCCTATAAAATCGTTAGATTGTATGATTCTGAACCCTACTAGGTGTGTAGTAACGGTCGAAAGTGTAGCAACTGCGTGGGAGGCCATTTCTGCTGTGTCAAAAAAAAAAGACAGTCGGTATTATAGCAATACGTCTGATAGTGAAAATGTACATATATTTTATAATTGTATTACGGAAAAGTTTGTTTTCAGACATTTTGCGCGCATTATAGCCTGAGCGCATTTTTAAAAATGTCAACAAATTTAGCCGACCTGTATCATAGCAATACGGATAATTTTTTTTTTCAACTTTTCGTATTGCTGCCATGATTACCAAAAACCTGTTTTCAGACACTTTAAGTGTAGCATATACTCCCAAAAACGAAAATAACGTTCCGGAGTCGCCTGGCCGACGCCTCTGTTAAATGTGTTTTTAAATTTACAGCCTTCATAGATATTCAAGAATCTCCCTTGTCTATTATATGTACTTTGACAGATGACAGATGTCATTACTTATTTCTTTTGTAAGAGTTACTCAAGTGTGCTTTAAATAAAACCAAAACTATCAAATCAATCAGAATTTAATTTCAACAGCCTCAGCGCTTGTTACGCTCCTGCCCCTTTCTTACTATTATACAGCTCACTCGCCAGCTGTTCCAAACGTTGGAACGACACTCACTTAGTTGTCATACGTTGTGCGGTTGTGGTGGTGGTGGTGGTTAACAGAAAATTCAAGATGCCTCAATACGATTTTTAAATGATATCTGAGTATCGAAAAGTTGTCTGATAGAGAAGGTGCTACACTTAATTTGTCTGATATAAATTTTTTGCACATGTGGACAACTTATTTTATCATGTCCAACAATTTTCAGACATATTGCTATGATACCGATCGGTAAAATTTGTTAACATTTTCAAAACGGTCTCAAAATTTAATGCGTTCACATTTCCGTCTGAAAATTGTTTTGTTCGCATCAAATAACCAAAATTTACTAATAAAAAAGATTTTCAGACGTATTGCTATGTGACATTTTTTTTGTCTCATTTTTAACTTTTTTAAGAGATTTTACGGGTTTGCGCTATACCACTAACGTCTGAAAAATATGTTTCCGGTATCTCAGAACTATCATTCAACTACAGTCTGCAAATCAGACATATTGCTATGATGCAGTTCGGTAAAATTCTTTGAAAATTTCGAAAATTCGGTCAGATCAAACGCTACGCGGAAAATGTCTGATATTGGTATTTTCGAGTTCAAGATAATCGTACCTATCGATTTGATGCGGTTTTGGCCGTATTACTATGAGACAAAAATTTTGGTCGTGGGCTCTCGTACTATAATGGGGCACAGCCTCTACACATATATCCAACATAGAGATAGTTCAACGTTTTCGATCAAATGCCCTACGAATGATAACTGGAACACCATGGTATTTAGACAAATAATCACTTGCTCCGTGATCTAAAAATCAAACCTGTTAGAGAAGAAATAAAGGAATCTTTACTTTCCTATTCCCAAAGTATACAAAATCACCTATCATGTTTTAAACTTTCATGGTCACTAACATTATAGCTAATAACGGTATTGTTACCATGTGCCTTGTTTTTTATGAGTCTCCGATATTTCGGCACTGTTGCAAGCGCCATGATCACGGAGTAATTGAAGTAATTGCGGGTAGATGTTATTGGCAGACATATCGGTCTGCCCTCTGACGTCGTCTTTTACTGCGCTCGATACCCCTACCATTGGTCACATTCTCACTATTCACTCGCACCTGTTCCCGACACACAATACTCACAGTATCAGATCGCGGAACGACACTTTTCGGAACAGTGCCGAAATATCGGAGACTCATAAAAAACAAGGTACATGGTAACAATCCCGTTAATAGCAATAATTAAATAATCCTAACCTACTAGCAAGAACTTTGATGGAAAAGCAACCAAACTATACATTTAAGAGACTAAAGAGACGTGCTCCTCAAGGTCTTCTCTAACACAAACACAGAAAAGTCAAGTCAAAAGTCAAGATGGGCATATCATTGGATCATGTACCATGCACGAAATTTTTTATTCCAAATTCATAAAATCCAGCTTAATGTCGACAAGACCGATAGCAGGAAAAAAGGAGATTTAAAAAAAAATGTGTGGGTCAGCTCCGACGCACGACTGGAGTTTACATATAATTATTTTTTTATTTAAAATATAATATTATCTTAATAATTAACAAAAAGGGTTTAAAAAGATAATTATGTCACTAAATCTTTTACGTACAATAATAAATAGTACATGAAAATTATTTAAAAAATACCTAAATTCAGTTCAGATTCTAAAAATTTTATTAATGTCAATCCGTCATCTTTGTTTGTCAAAGTTGCGCGACATAGGATGCGCACCAAACACGTAACGAACACCAAACACGTCATTCATCGATAGATTTTACTCCTCACATTTTTCTCATACCGGGCCCCTTATATATGCAAATAGATTCTTAAGGAGTAAACTACAAAAAAGAAAATTAATGAACGCTCCGTTCCGTTTACGCACATATACAATGATGGCGCCTTGAAGAATTAACTAAGGGGGAAAGGGGGGGGGGGGGTAATTGTAACGAGTTGGGAGGAACGCATCAGAGTGCAGTTAAACAGAGCAAATTAAACTATTGCTGTGTGACCATTATCTTGTTGTAAACTCAGTCTAGATCTTGTCAAGATACCGAACTGAGTTAAACCTATTTTTTTGAGTAACAGAGGTTTTCGGCTCAAAATTGAACGTCCTTTTGGAAAAGTAACATCTCTTATGATAATGTTTGATCGATTGATAATAATAGTGTCAGGGATCCAGTTCTTCGTCTACACGAAAAAACTTAACAGTAAAGAAAATTACTTCAGAAAAATCCACACGGACCAGGCAGCAGACGGGACTCGAAACCGCGTCCTCCGATACCCGCGTGTATATTTTTGTAATAAAATTTTCTTTAGGACCTCGATGGCGCAAGTGGTTAGCGCGTTCGGCTGCGATCGTTGAACTTAAGCAACTTTCGCAGTGGTCGGTTACTGGATGGGTGACCAATCTCCGTTTAATATAATTTCC